TGGTCGAAATAAAGGGAAATAAAATGGTAGGCAGAACGGTATGCAGGGGTGTTGGTTCCCTTCTAGCCCGACCGTTCGAGTTGGCGTGATTATGGCTTGCCTCATTAGCATTCTCTCGATTTGAGGCAGACCGCTCGGGAGGGCCTCGTGCGGCCCTTAGCGCTCTCATCTCCTCCGCATGCCTCTGCTGCATCTCTTGCTGTGCATGCGCCTACGCTTGTATAGTCTGCGCATGTGCCTCAATCTGGGCTTGCAACTCTCTAATTAAATCTTTGGTGCTCTGCTCTTCCATATTTCTTGTGGTCACCATTGGGTGTCTTCAGCTTGCTCTCGGCCCCACGGTGGGCGCCAAAATGTTTCAGTAGGGATTTTGTGAGACCGAGACACTAACCTTCGACTGGTGCGCTCCGCTTGTCTGCTTCCAGTTTGGACCAATCGGTCACCTTCAATATTGGCCGCTCGGTGAACTTCAATCTTGACCGCTCAGTCACCCTCTTTGTAACAGAGGGGAGGTACCTGCAAAAGACACTCCAACGCTCAAGTTAGGGGTCATTTTATGAACTGTTTGTTACAATTAAATATTGAAGTCCTCATAGGAGGTAAATAAGGCATAGTGGAGTATGAGTTGAATGTCCTTGTACCTCAAGCCTATACTCTTATTTATAGAGTTTAAAGATTCTGACCAATTAATTTACCTCTTAATGGTCATTAATGCAAACCTTAATTGTCTAACGATAGTCGTTACTACATTTATTTGTGTATTAAATCTGCCCAACAACTATCGAGACCGAACGACTAAGAGGCTTTCCGAGACCGACCGATTGAGGAGCTGATAGACCAATACCGATCGATTGTCTGCAAGTCCGTAGTAACAACTTGTAATGACAATATCCACTACCTCACTATTTCGAAATAAAAAAGTTAAAAATAAATTGTAAACCTTCAAGACCCTATCCTACTTATTGTCTAGTTGCCAAAAAACAAAACAATTACCTCCTCTGTTCATAATATGAATGGACAGTTCGATCGATCAAGACAACAACGTTTTCATAGATACCTTTCAACACTTACCTATCGAGGGGCTCGAGGGCTCGTTGGAGCGTTCTGATTCAGCTTCCAGACTCCGTATAAAACAAACCATATGAGACCACCCAGCATTTGAAGAAATAAAATTACAGATGCATAAACACTCATATATGAAGCCGTTCTCTTGTGTTTGATTCCCATCGTCCAACACAGTAATAATAATAAAAATAAATTAACATCACATTTATTAGACTTAAGGGCAAAAACGAGAAAGAAATGCTATCACGTGACAAGAGAGAGAAATTATAAACTTTGAGAGTTTTAGAGAGAGAGAGAGCAGAGAGAAGTACTCTGCTAGGGTTCCACCTTCTTCCACTAGAGATGGCCAAAGTCACCGCACACAGGAGCATTATAGCGTACTAGAATCAATGAAACCCCTTTATCATCCAGCTTCTTCCTCAACTGATCAGGTACATGTATGTAGCACAAAGAACAAAACATCTTTAGATGTTTGACATCTGGTTTCACTCCTGTCCAGGCCTCCTCGGGTGTAATACCATTCAGTCTCTTTGTTGGAGACAAATTCAAAATGTAGGTGGCTGTCAGCATAGCCTCACCCCATAGGAAACTAGGCAGCCCTTTACTCTTCAGCATGCACCTAACCATATTCAATATGGTTTTGTTCTTCCTCTCTGCTACCCCCATTGTGTTGTGGTGTGTAGGGAGGGGTAACTTCATGAACTATTCCCTCTCTTTCACAGTAGTCTTTGAAATCAGTGGAGGTATACTCTCCTCCTTCATCTGTTCTCAAGACTTTCAGCTTCTTCTAACTTTGCCTTTCAACAACATTTTTAAACTTTTGAAACATCTGTAACACCTCCCCCTTTCTTTTCAACAAGTAGACCCAACATTTCCTGGTCCAATCATCAATGAACAATAAGAAATACCTGCTGCCCCCAGGTATTTCTACTTGTATAGGGCCACACACATCTGAATAGACCACCCCAAGCTTCTCTACAGATTTCTAAGGTAAGAATTTTTTAAAAACACGCTTGGTCTGTTTGCATTGGACGCACTCCTTGCACACTGTTTCTGTGATGTTCACCTTTTGTAAGCCAATTACCATACTCTTCTGGCTTAACTGGGATATATCTTTAAAGTTTAGGTGTCCAAATTTGAGGTGCCACAACCATTCTTCCTTACTCTTTATTACAGTAAAACACTGATGATTTACTGCCTCCATCACCACCTTAAATGTTTTGTTCTGTGACAGCTGGGCATGCACAATAATCTTCATATTCTGGTTGAAACCACTGAGGCAATTGTTCTCCATTTTCATCATGTAACCCTTATGCAAAAGTTGCCCCAAGCTTAGGAAATTGGTCTTCAAGCCTACGTACCTCTTCAATTATCACCTCTCTTCTATCTTCACCTCTCAAAACCACCTTGCCAGAACCCTCTGCAGCCAAGCTACTGTTGTCTACAAATCTAATTTTACCATGTTCAACCCCATGCATTCTCACAAACCAATCCTTTCTCCCGGTCATGTGAGTGAAACTTCCAGAGTCTAAATACCACACAGTATTTTCTGGTTGATTTTCATCAGTATTGGCCATCAAGATCACTACTTCAAAGTCTGAATCTTCCTCCTAGGCCAGATTAGCCCTCTTCTTAAGCTTATTCTTCGCCCCTTCTCCCTTCCAACACTCCTTAGCATAATGACCATATTTCTGACAGTTGTAACATTTGACTTTCTTCTTGTCAAACTTCCATTCTCCTCCGAATTTCTGGTTTCTTCCTTTCTCAGATTCACAGCAGATTCACTGGAATCTTCCCCTTGCTGTTCCTGTGAATCTTTACCTTTCTTTCTACCTTTACTCCATTTCTTGAACCCTTTTTCCCTTTAAACTGATATATGGCCTATAGGGCCTGTTCTTGGCACTACTTGCGCTCATTGATGCGATACGCATGAGCTTCTAATGAGTGCAACAGCTCATCAATCTCCATGGTCTCCATTTTTCGAGTCTCCTCAATAGCCACCACAACATTGTCAAATCTGGATGTTAGAGTTCTAAGGATTTTGTCAACAATATACTCATTAGAAATCCCATCTTTACACGCCCTCATTTTATTCACCAATTCTTGTACCTTGTCAAAATATTCTGCCACGGTTTCACTCTCATCCATGACTAGAATCCTAAATTATCTTCTCAGTGCCTACAATTTCACCTTCTTGTTCTTGTCTCCATCACCATAGGTCTTCACTAGGATGTCCCATACCTCCTTAGCAGTAGCAGCCTTGGAGATCTTGTTAAAGATCTTTGGGCTGACACATTGGTACAACAAGAATCTTGCCTTGATGTCCAGTTTCACTTGCATCTTGTAACTCTTCTTCTCTTCTTCAGAAGCCCTTCCACTCAATTCAGGCAATCTGTCTTCTATCACTTTTGAAACATCCTGGAATCCAAAGATGGCTTGCATCTTGATGCGCTAGTCATCAAACTGCTTCTCATCAAACACTAGTAATGGTCCTTGTATTCCTCAAATTCCTGTCATCGTTTCTTGCTAGATTCTTGTAGTTTCTTTTCACACACCCAAAGAAACATTCTTTCTCCTCTTCTGGATACACACAATTCCAGTCACAGATCACACACCCACTTCACACACACACACACACACCAGGAAATACAGCCTATGCTCTTGATACCATATTAGACTTAAGGGCAAAAGCGAGAAAACACCAAACCAAATATCTCTGATGATTAAAAGCAATGCTACCACGTGACAAGAGAGAGAAATTAGAAAAGTTGAGAGTTTTAGAGAGAGAGAGAGAGAGCAGAGAGAAGTACTCTGCTAGGGTTCCACCTTCTTCCACCAAAGATGGCCAGAGCCACCACACACTGGAGCAAAACAAAGAATAAGACAGAGAGCAAATGAAGGCACTCACGGTACTGAATATCTTCTAAGAAATTTCATTAACCTTTACAGTATGTGATTACAACTTTTATATACATGAAATGAACTGAATGTAACTGAAAACTGAAATGTTTATTGTTTATTCTGACAACATTTTCAATGTGGCAACAAAATTACGTGCAATAGGGAGTGAAAAAGGAGAGTAACATTGGAGGAGTCGACGTCAATGGAAGGAACCTTGGGAGGAATGAGAATGAGAAGGAACTTGCAGATGACGAAAGCCAGTGCTAGAACGAGCAAGGGCCACCAAAAACGCCATTGGAAGAACTTCACAACAGATTCAAAGAAAAGCAGTTGGATAGGGTTTAGAGAAGGTTGGGCAATGTTTTTGTTTTCCAAACCCTTTTGAACAGCAAACAACATCAAAAACTCACTCCATAAAAAATCTATCGACATAAGAAATCACAATACATGGCAACATACCTATCATGAATCACGTTGTAGCTACAATCACTAGTGGAAAAATGACATTTTATAACGTACAAAAATGATCTTTTATAATGTAGTTACTGGGGACATAGTTCTGGGCGATATAATAAGTCTACGCATTTTATAACGTAGCAGAAATTTACGTTATAATATGTTCAACATATTATAACGTAGTTGTTGAAATACGACATAATATGCACAGTTTATTATGACAAATTTTCATCTATATGTTATAATAGGATGGAAGGTTTTATAACGTAAAAGTTTTTGTACGTTATAATATGTGATATATTATTACATATATATTGTTGTACGTTATAATATGTGATCGACTATCATAACATACATGGTTTAGTACGTTATAATATATTTTTAAAAAATAATTATTACATTTGACATCCAATAAAATTATAATAATATTCCTGTATTATAATCTCATCCAATCAATATATAAACAAATTTAAGAAAATTAACAAAATAGAATTCATTTCAAATATTAAATAGTCTAATATTTAATAGATGAAACTATATATTAAATCCAACTGTTACATTAATGTACATACACTATTAAATTGTAACCAAATTTCTACTAACACTTAAAATTTCTACTAACACTTAAAATAAAAGAAGCTCAATTTCTTCTTATGTCTTCCATGTCTGCAACTTTCAGGGGATGAATGATTAAAGATCTACAAATAAAATAATAGAATTAAAAAAGGTAAAATAAAAAAAAGTAAGTACAATTAGATATAAAAACAATCAGATTTTTTTAAATTATTTATTTCCAATCAAAGACTCTTTCTCTTTTACAAAATGAAAAAAAAAAATACAAAAAGAAATGAGAATACGAAATAATTTGTCTGGAATAAAATATCAACCTCATGTCATTTCAAGAAAAGAAAAAAGACTAGTAAATTACACAAATGATGACAAATCCATAAAAATAAAGTAAGAAGTGGATAAGTTTAAAACAAACATTTGAGGCATTTCCTTATAATTCATCGAGCAATGATATTAAAATCCATATAATTTGAGGCATTTTCTTATCTAAACTGGTACAAATTAATTTATTGATTTCATTAATTACTCAATCCAAGGATACCCTTTGGCCAGAACTCATTGACCACTGCAATCAAAGAACTTTTGAATTATTCTATATACATAAACCAGAAAAAATATGGATGCCCAAAAAATAAACAACTTAGATTAGAATTAATTACCTGCTTTGAATATATCAAGATTTTGTCAAATTCTCTCCTCTCTGCAAAAGCTGCAACAACTTTTGGTGTTGCTCTAGCTTTGATATAAATTTTCAAAGCAAGGTCATTATCCACCGTCTGCATATATGCAAGCCTCGTAAAAATTAGGAAAAGCAAAGGAACAGATCATGGGTTTCTTTAAAAGGAATGGACAATTTGGATTTTCCTTCCCCAGACCATCAATAAAATAAAATTAATAAATATGTCCAAATGAAAAACAAATAACACATTAAATTTCTGTCAAGACCTTCACAAGGTCACCAAGCTCCTCACTGCATTCAAGTTTATCCTCTGCCAGCCAATTTTCCAAAAGATTCTTTTTGTTCTGATTTACAACAACTCGTCACAGTTCCAGTGACTCAAAAGCATTAAGCTTTCCCATGGTTAACAGAGTTCCAAAGTATTGCAACAGTGGTGGTGTTTGCCCAGCTTGCACTCTGAAAGCAAATTAACAAACGCAACTCAAGAACACAGGATAAAAAACATATTGATATATTAATGTGATTATGAATACCCTAAATTTGGTAACAAAACCAAGACATATTAATGTAACAACATTTTCATGCATAAAAGACCTGAAATTTAGCAACAGTATCAGGAGTTCGAAGTACTCCTTGGGGTGATTGTGCAGCAAGCTCTGCAGCTTCCTTATACTTGGTCTGAGCAAATAATTCTTGAAAACGCTTAACAACCTGAGAGAAAAAACACAAACAAAACAATAACAATAGGTAAAAATAAATGAACTTTAAAATTGAAAAGAAAACTCATTCTTCCCTCTCTACTATCAAACAACCTACGAAGAAAAAAATTATGGTTGGGGAAAAATTTATGCCCTAATAACTCCAGTTATTGATCTTTGAATCAGAAGTTACAGTTGCCATGTTCATATTTCACATCAACATTTTTTTTAGCACATACTTTTAATGAAGATTCCCTTAGGCCTCAAGTAATTACACCTTACAAACTGTTACCTGTTCATTCCGGTATTCTGTCAAAAAATAAAAACATATATACAAGCAAATGCTACAAAAGAAAATCATTTTCCATCATTTTCTCAAGCTTTTATGCTATTTGTCTTGTTGATAACTGCTCTACTCCAGATGACACATCTGAAATGCTTTATGACTGTCATGTACTCCTCCTTGTTCTTGAACATCAGAGGCACCTTGGATCAGGGACAAGCAATGACCCTGCAAACCATAAAGGGAAGTTCAAAAGATAAAAGTAGAGGTGTGATGCAAAACTGGACTTTGACTCCTCAAAGGTGAGAGGAGAACACTTGATAGAATTGTGATAAAATAAATTATGCTTAATTGAAGGAGCCAAATACATTCAACAATTGTGAGTTCACTTTGTTCTCTAAAGTGCACCTACTAACTTTAAAGGAGCCAAATCCCTTAGTGGCAGAGGACAAAAGGGAGAATTTATATAAGAAACTCTACTTAGCGTGACTCTAATAAAACCACCTTGCATCTATTTCATGTTAATCACCAATATTTCTTAAGTGCAACCAACAAATCATGAATGATAAGACCTAACATTGTATCGTATGCCTTCACTCTTAGATTGGATTAAACAAATGAAAAATACTTGGGCGCATAATTTCATAAACATTTTAATAGAGTAATTCTATCTGTTTGTATGATTTCATTATACTACTATGAAAGAAGAAACGAGAACAAGAGCAGAAGCTCCTCATGATCAAAGATCACTCAATGACCCCGTTTCCATATGACAACACTTGTTTTCTTTCCACAACTAACTATTCCCCATCCCATCTCACTACTCACCTAAAGGGGTCTAAGATAACCAATCACACCATGTGTAAGAAAAGAAAATCAGACACTTTAAATTGGAAGTGGTAAATGGTAATTTTGAAATAAGAAATATACCACTACAAGTCAAAGCAATGAAAATAAATAATCATACAAAATTAAAGAATAAGTGCAATGCCAAAATTCTAAGGATACATACCACCCGTCCCTTAGTTACAGACAAGTATGCTTGAAGCTCAGACTCAATAACCTTGAGCAACGAAAATGCTCCAAGCATGTGCTTCTTTTCCAATTGGCAGGCTATCTTTAAGAACTGATGCCTGGCAAGGAGATTGATGAATCATCGAGGATGAAGGAGAGAAGAGAAGAGAACAGAGTAGCATTGCAGTGATAGGAAAATTTATAATGCAGGGAGATCTGTATCACAACAACTGCAAAAGGAAAACTCCTCAAGCGAGCATTTGAGCAAAAACCCAAGGCCCAAACGACAACCATTGCAATTCCACTCAATATGCTAAGAAACCGCTCTCTCACCACACAAAAACCAAAACAAAACCACACAACATTGACATTTTCGTTTTCATATTATACACATCACCTACAAAACATTCTATCAAACGGCCATAACTTCCCAAATCAACTCGGGATCAAAAGAAGGTAACCTCGCGAGAGAACAACCTTCGAACTTCGTCTCGTCTGTTACCATCATCGGACACTCCGTCGAAACCGAGGTCGGCGAGGTCTCACCCTTCCAAATCCCATCCTCCTCCTCTCTCTCGTGCTAACACCGCTGATTTCCACATCAATCCAAACACAATCTCCACCATTCTAGGACAAATTAGTGAAATTAATAGAAGAAAAACATAACAAATTAGGAAAAAACAAATAGTAGAAGAAATTTTAGCGATTTCGAAGTATGAATCATAAAACCTACTTGGTCAGACTTCGGAGATTTCGACGAAGAGGCAGCGGAGGCAGAAGCAGTCTCCGAAGGTTCTATAACTACTTGGTCAGCCGTAGGAACAGTGCTTTCAGTTCGCTGGCCTTCGCCTTCCCTTAACCTAGCTCTCCTTCTCTCTATAGCCTAAACCACAACCACAATCGCGAGGAGGGAGGAGTGTTCTCAGAGTGTTTGGAGGGAGGAGTGCCGATAAATTAAAGATGAGAGGGAACGAGTCTTTTGGAGGTTCAGAGACGCGGAAGAGAGGAATGAGACGAGAGGGAAAGTTGAAATCAAATTAGGAAAATGTCAAAAATTCGAAAAGAGGAGATATTATAACTGATTTTCAAAACCACGTTATAATATGTTTTAAATTTATTTACAAGTTTGCCAACGTTTCAATTTTATAACTGATTTTCAAAATTACGTTATAATATGTCTTAAATTTATTTACAAGTTTGCCACCGCATTTTATATTATAACTGATTTTTAAAATTACGTTATAATATGTGTTAAACTTATTTACAAGTTTGCCACCGCATTTTATATTATAACTGATTTACAAAACTACGTTATAATATGTCCTATGATGGATAATTTTTATATGTTATAATAGGTCCGTTATAAAATGTCATTTTTCCACTAGTGAATACCACTGAAATGAAACAAATTGCAAAACATGATTTCAAACGAAAAATAGGGAAAATGACGGCGTTGAGGATTAACGTGATGGATGAAAGTAAAGAGAAGAATGGGTGTTGTGATGGATGTAGATGAAAAGAAAAGTGCGTGGATTTTTTTAGACAATGTAGATGAAAAAAAGACGAAGGAGTAAGAGAATGCAAACCAAGGGAACATGAATGGTTGCTGAAATGTTTTTAGGAATATTTTATTAAGGTTTAATACCTATTTTGGTCCCGCAGTTTGTAGGATGTGTTCAAAGTTGTCCTCATTTTTTTCAAAAGTTCACTAACGTCCTATATTTTGCAAAAACGGTTCACATTAGTCATTTTTATTAACGGCGTTAAAAAGGACATAATTGCTCTACTTACAAAAACTTGATGACGTGTACAATTATTGTTGATGTGACGCTGTGAGGTCATTTGAGGCCAATGAGAAGATGGTACATGGCATATCCCTTTCCACCCAAATTTAGGGTTTCACAATTACAGAATGGCAAGGGCTTTCTCTGAACTTTTATCACCACTCGGTTTGGACCAGGAGTTTTTCGGATAACGTCCCTGGGTTTTGTTTACGAGAGTGACAGTTCGTTTAGAACTTTTATCATAGGAGTTTTTCGGATAACGTCCTTGAGTTTGTTTACGAGAGTGACAGTTCGTTGAGAACTTTTATCACAGCTCGGTTTGGACTAGGAGTTTTTCGGATAACGTCCCTGGGTTTGGGTTTGTTTAAAAGAGTGACAGTTCGTTGAGAACTTTTATCACCGCGGGCATGTCATGGAAGAAGTGACTTTCTATCCGCCTCTCACTTTTGCTGGAGTTAAGATATACCATGATCTGTAAGAATAGTGAAGGTGACTTTCAATAACAAATAAGTAAGAGACAAGTGTTGGACTTAATAAACGTTAACAAATAGTGTTAGAAGACATTAGTCTAAGTCTTAAACTTTAAATAGAATGATAATGACGTCATATATTTTTATCTGGTCACAAAGTGGTTCTAGAAAATAAAGATGTTGCTTGCAACCGTTCAATTATTGGCTTATGTAAAAATAATTTCTTGTAACCAATGTTTTTGTTATGAAAGCATTATATATTATATTATTAATCATATATATATATATATATTTAATATCTATATAAAATAGTTATTATAATATCTACTATCAATTAGATAGTTGGATTTTAATGTGGTTTATCATAAAACTCAAACACTATTGTAAAATAATATAAGGGCATATTTTTTATTATTTTATTTACATATTCATATTTTAAAAATATTTATCTTGTTGATGAAGTTTCAAGTAGAGATGCCATGTAGTGTAGCTTTCGCTTTATTTAAAGTTCCTGGTGTCGATCTGAAGTAGCAATGTCGAGACTGAGCGCTCGTCTTGGTTCCCTACGGTTTCAGCGGGATGTCGATCGGCCCCACGGTGGGCACCAAAATGTTTCGATAGGGATTTGTAGGACCGAGAGACTAACCTCTTCTGATGTGGCTTTGCTACTTTTCGACACCGGAATCGAGTGCTCCGCTCGCTTGGACTCCAGATGTCGTTCGGTTGTGCTCTTGATGGGGGAGGTACCTGCAAAAGGCACTCCGACGCTCAAGTTATGAGCGATTTTGTGAACTGTTTATCACACTTTAATATTTAAGTCCTTATCGAACGTAAGTAGAACGTACCTGACCTTTGGCCCTATGAGTGCATTTATAAGTGTTTCATAGATAAAATAAAAACAATCTTACATGGAGATCCGATTAGTTACTCATAAACGACCTTATCAATATCTTAACCGCTTATCAAGATCTTCAGATCTTCATATCTTCAATTAGATATTCTTGATTATTTTATTTTCTTTTGATTATTTTATCTTTTGTTAGACTGCTGGCCCAATAGTACCTTAAGTGTTAGCCCAATTATGGTCTAACACTATTTAACACGGTTGACTTTAGTTGATGCTTGATGATGACTTGGAGGTGTAGAAAGAACAAGTATTTATTTTAGTGACAATTTGTTAGTAATTATGTGAATTCCTAGAATATTTTTAGTTGAATTGTTAGAGACTAAAGAAAAATTTACTAACAATTTTTTTTTCTAATGTGCAAATCACTTAAAATTTAAGCGGTGATAATAGTAAACTGAACAAAAAAAATTGAGTAAATACTTACTCAAATTTATTAACATGATTCTATATTTTAGTCTCTATTAATAAAACTAAATGAAAGAAAAAAACATTTATCTATTAATGTTTTCATTATCAGCTCTTATATTTTCAATATAAGACTTATTTGATGAATTCGCTTAGTCCTAAATGATTAGATTGAGTCTCATTATTCGTAACAATTACATTATTAGTAACAATTAGAATACATAAGTAGATAAATACACTTCTAAATCAAAAAGGAAAATCAATAAAAAAAAATAATAATAATAATAAAAAAGAATATTAAAAAAATGAACAAATATGTTATTTCATTAAAAATGTATAATTTTTTATTTATATAACACAATATAACTTCGAGTTATAACATATTATATATATTATATTAAATATTAGTGTATAAATAGACTTTGATAAAAGAAAAAATACCGTTTCAAGTATTTTGGTGTATAATAGGAAATTTACCAGTAAACGTGTCTTCTTACATTAGCAGGAAATAGAAGAAGCCTGATTGATATAGAGAGATAACACTACTTTAACACTACAACCACGAAACTGAATACATAAATTTGGAGTATCCAGATAATATTAGGTCTTCAAATGTAACTGTTTAAGCAAACCTTTTCATGTTTTACTGGTAACTTCAACGTGGCTCTAGGTCGACAATCTCAGAAAAAAGATCCAACATCAACTTATCATTATCCTTGCAACTATTGTGGTGCTCTCCAAGATCAAGCACATGGTCAATGGCTTCCTGTGTTGCGCCTTGGTCGGCACTCTCTTGCAGTTTCAGTGCAGACTCTAACATCAAAACGACATCGTTCATGGAAGGCCTCTGCATCCCCTCTTGTGATAAACAACTCACCCCAATCTCACAAAACTTGGCCAAACAATCGGGAGCGATCTTCCCTTTCAATATGGGGTCCACAATCTCCGTCACTGTCCCATTTTGGCAACAATATCTGGCCCAATTGGCTAGTGACACCTGTTCGATTTCTTCAGTATGAATCAGAGGAGAACGGGCACAGAGTACCTCAAACAACACCACCCCAAAAGAATACACGTCAGATTTCTCCGTCAGCCGCCGTCGAATGTAATATTCCGGATCCAAATACCCAAAGCTGCCTTTTACGACGGTGCTCACATGGGACTTCGACATCTCATTCGGCCCAATTTTGGACAGCCCGAAATCCGAAACCTTCGCCACCCATTTCTCATCCAACAAGATGTTCGTCGTTTTCACGTCACGGTGGATGATCATGTGGTTCGCGCCAGTGTGAAGATAGCGTAGTCCGCGCGCAGCGCCAACGCAAATCTTCAACCGCTGCTTCCACGAGAGAGGGGGGTTATCGGTGCCGTAGAGATGTTCACGGAGGTTTCCACGTCTCATGAACTCGTAAACGAGGATCATCTCATTGTTATCGCAGCAGTAACCGATGAGTGAGAGGAGATGGCGGTGGCGGAGTTGCGAGAGCATCTGGATCTCGTTAACGAACTCGCTAGCCCCCTGCTGGGAACCCTGTCTAAGGCGCTTGATAGCGACGGGCACTGAGCCGTCGTCGATGTAGCCCTTATATACGTGTCCAAATCCTCCGTCGCCGACGATAAGGACGTTATTGAAGTTTTTGGTGGCGGCTTTGATCTCGACTAGAGAAAATCGGCGGCATTGACCAGAAGGCAGAGAAAAATTGTGTCGCTTGGTTGACTTGGTCGTTAAGAACAACGGTGCACTCCACTTGGAAGTTGTCAACAACCGGATAAAGAAAAGGACAAGCAAGATGAAAACGACACCGGAAACTACCTTCACCGTGTTACCAATTATCAGGTTTTTGCTTCTGCTTCTTCTATTTTCCTTTTGATGTGATGTCTCAATCGGCTCCGGGTTAGGTCCGGCGAGGTTGTTAGACCTAGTGTCGCTGATTTTGAAAATCTCTAGACCGTTCAGGAAGGCATCTGAGTATCTCGAATACACACTGCTTCCGTAAGGGTGCATTTGAAGCGAGAGATTATACTTTTTCTGAACACTATTCTCGGGAATCAAAAAGGCATAGTTTTTCTGCACAGCTAGACCTTTTTGTTTCTGACTCCAAACCATTACATCTGCACGCGAATCAGCCAACTGACTCCCTATGTAAATGGAGAATCGCCTGTCACCGATGTTATTAATATTGGGATCAAGCTCGCAAAAGTGGAGCCTGAGAACGTAAGTGAAGCCATAATCAACGGGGAACTCCCAAGTGAGGTTGCTCATTCTGTTCAGAGTGGCGTTTGTGCCCATGATACGCGCTGTTCTGAACAGTTCCTTTGGTGCCAAGTAATCGGGATTCACGGTTATATTCATTTTCCCATCCATGTCAGCTGGTAGATCATCATTCCTTGGACTGTGTTTGATAAAATAACTTTTCTCGTCAGCCCAATTCCTGAACAAACCGGTGTCGTTTTTTGGAGAGATTTCCTGGCCCCCGGTTTTAATACGATACACTGTTTCCATGGCAGTGCTACTTCCGACGCTGAATAGCGTATCATGTCCCACGAGAGTGAATCCTGGGTCATCTAGTGGAGTGTAATATAAATCGGTTGGCATGGAAAGCACCTCGATTCCATTGATGAAAGCGTAGGAGTTTGGATGGGAGGGGGTGAAGGTAAGGATAAGACTCTCACCGTCTTTGACGTTGACGACGTATTCTCTGAAGATAGTGTCGATGGCTTGAGCGTCGGCGTTGAGAGAGGCGTTGAAATCTTGGAGGAGAATGAATTGATTGGAGTGAACAGAGAAGAATGCCTGGGTGCGTGAATATGAAGGATAAGAAGCTGGAAAGAAGAAGAGGCGAAGAAATTTTGGACCTCCGGTTGAGAAATAGAAGGAGTAACTGAATTCGGAATGAGAAAGGCGAGCTGTGGCATAGGGAACTTGGTTGATCGAAGGAGATTGCGTTGTGGCTTTGGCTGAAACGGTGTCGTATTCGTTTGTTAAGAGCGGTGAACCTATGTCCCCGGTCCATGTCCTTTGGCCGTCGTAGGATGTTCCGGAGGAACCGCAACTGATGGTGAAATTGTCCACTAGGGTGTACGCTTGGAGGTGTGAGAAGAGGTGGAGAAGGAAGAAGATGACTGCGTTGGACCTCATGGTTTGCCGTGAGAATGACAGAACTAAGACATATTATCATCCTTTATAACTTGCACTTGCTTCGATGCCCGCCTGAAAGAAAGTTCAAAGTGAAAGATGACTACTCCACTGCTACCGACCACATGTTGTAATAAAAGAAAAACTATAATAAGATATTTTTCAATTTTTCTTTTACATTTTTTAATATTTAATAAAAAGTTAATATTCACTAGTGCAGAAAAGGCTTTAGACGTATGTTATTTTGGATTTTTAATGTCATATCTCTAACCGACGCCTTTGTGGGTGACGTTAATGGGACGTTGCTATGTGAAACATCCGACGTCTTTATAAACGTTTGTTATAACCATAACTGACATCTAATGATGTTGTAAAGACGTCAGACACGACACTAACCGACGCGACACTAACCGACATCTAAAGCACTATAAAAACGTCCGACATGAAACTCACCGACGTCTAATGGCACTATAGATGTCGGTCATAACTGACGTCTACTGAGATATCGTTGTGTTTTAATGCAGTTTTGCTCGTGTTTTTGGGTAGCATAATAGACTTCCGCCCTTTACTAGCTTCTTCGTAAGAAAAAATTGTGGTTTTTGGACCTCTTATGACATTTCAACCCAAAACCGAGCCTAGATCGTTGCCTATATTCATTCCAACCGCCAAGAAAAAAAATACGGTGACATGAAAACTAGGCAAGGACCCAGGTTCAGCCTTAGGTTGAAATGCCATAAGAGATTCAAAAAACATAAGCTTTTCTTATGAGGAAGCTAGCAAAGGGAAGGTGCACTATGCTACCCAAAAGACACGGAATAACTACACCAAAACACAACGAAAACTCATTTTAATTAGTTCAAACGAAAGATAATACATCAAATATTACTTTAATCGGAGTAAAGTGAGTTTAAACGGTTAAAAATAGATCAAAAACGCACCTGGAAATGCAATGAGCGAAGGAAGGAAGACAATGAACTTCGCGTATAACTGCTGGTTCGCAATGGCTTATTTAATAGCGATCCAAACGTCAGTTCCCCAAGAGACCGCCGTCTACGCTCGAATTTACGTCGGGGACCTCACTAATGTTACGTCCATTCGATTGAAAAATTAATATTCATGGTAGGGATCAGACGTCTATAATTGAATATAGACATCAGGGAGGCGGGATCAAAAGTCTATATGGCGAAAAGAAATGACTTTTTCACCTACCTGTCAATCATCCAGACGTCCGTTGGTAGGGGCACCGACGTCTATAATATTATAGACGTCGGTGCCCCTACCAATAAACGTCTATATGGCGAAAAGAAATGACATTTCACCTACCTGTCAATCATCCAAACGTCCGTTAGGAGGGGCACCGACGTCTATAATATTATAGACGTCGGTGCCCCCCTCCCAACGGACGTTTGTATGGCCAGTTATTTACGAAAATGCCACCAGCCAATAATTTACGTTGGATACAGAGTGATCCGACGTCTAACGGGTGATGTCAAACGTTAATTCTGCACTAGTGATTTTTACATTGTTTATCTCAATTTATATATTATTTTAAATAAAAATATTTTTTAATGTTGAATAATTTTAAAATAAAAGATATGATATTAATGTACATTCCATAACAAAAGTATTAGATCATGTATCGTACCCACTGGAGACCGAACGGTTAACATTCAGCACCGTTCGGTCCATCCACTCAAATCAAAGATTGGGCTGTAATTGGGCCAGTGCTTAAGCTATTGTTAGGCCAATATTCCAACAGATGATAAAATAATCAAAGAATATATAATTAAAGATATTGATAAGCAGGTTATAAACAACCAACCGGATTTTCAGGTAATCTGTTTATATCTTATTCTGTTTATATTTTATTGGGCTTATATCAGCTCAGGATCCATGAGGTAAATTATAAAAACAAAGCCGGGGTCGAAAGCCAGGTACATTCCACTTACGTTAAACTCACCCTTCATAACACCCAAACATTCAAGAGTGATAACTCTTCACTAAATATTCAACCAAGAGCCGATGCTCTTCAAATCACACGTCTACCTTGAGCGTCAGAGTATCTTTTGCAGGTACCTTCCCTCCTGGAGCACAAAGGCAACCGATCGGCCAAGACTGATGTGACCGAACGGTCAAACTGTGAAAACTGAACGGTCTAAGCGGAAGGAGCAGGTGGAGCACGTGATTCAAGTGTTAGAAAGGTTAGTGGCTCGGTCCCACAAAAAATCTACCGAAACATTTTGGCGCCCACCGTGGGGCCAGGGGGCATCCTACTGAAACTGCAAGGAACCAGACAAGGACGCAGCCTCAACATCAACGTCAACAAGCTTCTACGGCTTTACAGATAATTTATTCGATAAATTCATTTTATTATATGATTTAATTTAAATATCTTAATTCAATATTATAATATTGTTCAAGATTTATTAATGCACTCACCACTTATCCAAATTTGGCATCTAAGTGTTTAACCATGCAATAGCTCGACCCTTCGGCCTCATTGCTTTTCAATCGTCCTGCTTCACAGTGCAGGTGTTAGGACCATACAAACAATCATCCTTTAGGAAGTTCCAAAACGAACTCCTACGCTGAAAAATCGAGCGGTGTTGCACGTCCTCAGGGACTAACACTCTCCTCCTCTACGAAATTCCAAAACGAACTCCTACACTGAAAAACTGAGCGGTGTTGCACGTCCCCAAGCACTCACATTCTCGTCCTCTAGGAAGTTCCAAAATGAACTCCTACGCTGAAAAACCAAGCGGTGTTGCACGTCCCTAAGGACTGACACTCTCGTCCTCTAAGAAGTTCCAAAACAAACTCCTACACTAAAAAGTCGAACGGTAAAGCTCGTTCCCTTGAAAGAACTCCTAGGTCAAAGTCAAAGCATGGAGGTAAAGTCCTCTCAAAGCTGAACGGTAAAGCCCGTTCCCTAGGAAGAACTCCTAAGTCAAAGTCAAAGCAGGGAGGTAAAACCCTCTCAAAGCCGAACGGAAAAGCCCGTTCCCTAGGAAGAACTCCTAGGTCAAAGTCAAAGTAGGGAGGTAAAGTCATCTCAAAGCCGAACGGTAAAGCCCGTCCTTAGGAAGAACTCCTAGGTCAAAGTCAAAGTAGGGAGGTAAAGTCCTTCAAAGCTGAACGATAAAGTCCGTCCCTAGGAAGAACTCCTAGGTCAAAGTCAAAGCAGGGAGGTAAAGCCCTCTCAAAGCCGAACGATAAAGCTCGTTCCCTAGGAAGAATTACTAGGTCGAAGTCAAAGACCGAGAGGTAAATCCCTCTCGGCCGAGAGGTAAATCCCTCTCGTCAACAATTCGAAGTAAAAGACCGAGATGTAAATCCCTCTCGGTTCATGTTGAAGGCCGAGAGGTAAATCCCTTTCGGTTCATGTTTACATGGAAAGCAAGCTCCTCACTATAGGAAAAACAGCCTCCCTCAAACTCATAAGTCCTATAGTTAACCACGGCTAAAGCCGAACACTTAACTCGGACTTGGGGGGCATAATGTATCGTACCCAGTGGAGACCGAACGGTTAACATTCAACACCGTTCGGTCCATCCACTCAGGTCAAAGATTGAGCCGTAATTGGGCCAGCGCTTAAGCTATTGTTTGGCCAATAGTCCAGCAGATGATAAAATAATCAAAGAATATCTAATTAAAGATATTGATAAGCAAGTTATAAACAACCAACCGGATTTTCAGGAAATCTGTTTATATCTTATTTTGTTGGTTTAAACCCTCGGATGATCCTCGTATTTATATGGGAATCTCAAATGGGTCATTGTTTTTTTTCGGTCTCAATTGGGTCATATTTTTGTAAAAGTGAGCCAATTTTATCCTAACCATTAAGTGCTTTCAGACGGCGTTAAGTTTAGCTGAGCTGTATTTTATATTTTGATGGCGTGACATTGTTATTAAAATTGAATGACTGATGTGTTTTAAAATTGTTCACATCACACCTCAAATCAACTTCTTCTTCTTCTTCTTCTGTCTCACCACTTTCTCTCTATCCTATCTCTTCCAACGCTCAAAAGGTGCGATTTTTCTTTGTTTTTTCCTCTTCTACTTCATCTTCCAACTTCTTTGTTTTTTATTCAAATTCATTATTATCTTTCAATAAATTAAATTAACTTATTTTTCATTGTTTTTTTTCTTCAAATCACTAGTTTTCATCTGAATCATCATTTATATTTCCTGACCAATTATCGCGTTTCACAAAATCCGAAACACATGTATGGTAAGCAGGCTTTATTCTTCTTGACCAATATCAATTACGCACTAAACATACACTACTTCTGGCTTCTGCAATATTTTTCCTGTTCTTCATTGCTTAGCTTTATCGTATTTTAGTCAGTTTTTTCCTTTTATGAAAAAGTGTTTTTTGGATGGGAAGAAGGTGTGCATAACCGTTAAATATTCATCTCCTCTTATTTAATAATCTTTGAACAGAAAAGGCCAGTATGCATCTGATGTCATGGATGCATGATGCATCGGCTGCCATGTTAAACTTTGCTTTCGAAAGGAAAAGCAGAGAAATAAAGTCAATTATTTTATTTATTTTTGTTTTTAATGGATGCCTCATTCATACAGGTGGAACCCTTTCAAAGTCTTCAATCAATGAATTTTGCATCCTGACCCAACTAATGTCAGTAGAAGCACCACGCATCAGCTGCTTTACAATTAAATTAATTAAACACATAATTAGATATTTTTGTAATTCTAAAATTCCATTTAATGATGAGTCAAAGTCCAAAGTAGTTAAAGTAGAGAAGAATAAAGGATAGAGCAATGGAGAGATACTTTTAATGCAGAGAAGGAGATGATAATGAAAAATGATAGAAAATGGAGAAGGATCGGAAAAGTTGGAAGATGAAGTAGAAGAGGAAAAAACAAAGAAAGATTGCAGCTTTTGAGCGTTGGAAGAGATGGAAGAGAGAGAAAGTGACGAGACAGAAGAAGAAGTTGATTTGAGGTGTGATGTGATGTGAACAATTTTAAAACACATCAGTCCTTCAATTTTAATAAACAATGTCACGCCATCAAAATATAAAATACAACTCAGCTAAACTTCATTTGAGATTTCATATAAATACGAGGACCATCTGAGGGTTTAAACCTATTCTGTTTATATTGGGCTTGTATCAGCTCAGGATCCATGAGGTAAATTATAAATACAAAACCAGGGCCGAAAGCCAGGTACGTTCCACTTACGTTAAACTCACCCTTCATAACACCCAATAATTCAAGAGTGATAACTCTTCACTAAATATTCAACCAAGAGTTGAGGCTCTTCAAATCACACGTCTAACTTGAGCGTCAGATTATCTTTTGTAGGTACCTCCCCTGGAGCACGAAGGCAACCGATCGGCCAAGGCTGACGTGACCGAATGGTCAAACTATGAAAACCGAACGATCTAAGCGGAAGGAACAGGTGAAGCACGTGATTCAAGTATCAGAAAGGTTAGTGTCTCGTCTCAAAAAAATCTACCGAAACAGATCATAAATAACGTGATAATTAAATTATATGTTTTATTGTTTATTATATAGTCTATGCATATATGCATATGAAATTATATTCTTCTACGAGACATAAAAGTCATTTGAATGGGCACTCGCGGACAAAAAAATTAATTTAACATCATACAAGTCAAACAAATACTATACTTGGTGTTAACTTATATGTTTCCTGGCAAGTCATATTTATTAAATATAAATTTATTGATGTGATCTTACATGAGTCATGTGAAAAAAATATGAAAAAAATAAAACAATATAATAGATTTCATGACGTGTATTTTGGCTTTAGTTTAGTTGTATAGATTATTTCTTCTTTGTTGTTTTATTTTTTTTAAGATGTCATTTTTTCTTTTAAAGTGCCAGCAATATAAGATTTCACATAATTTGAATTTAAAAGGAAAAAAAAATTAGTCTTCACCTAATTGTTTGTAATGCAAGTTATCTCTTTTATAACTTTAAATTTTAATTTTTAGGTTACACTAGTGTAGTAAAGATAAATGATAACGGTCATTTGTTTAACCTTCTTCTTCTCATAAACCTATATAAGCATCCTATGACTTCCTTTATAAGATGCACCTTTCATTGAATGAAAATAACATGATTTACATTAAATTACATTTCTTCTTTGAAATAGAATCCATCTTAGTCTAAATTTTGGATCTTATCTAGTAAAGAACAAGTGGCGATCCTTTTTGCACTTATCTTGGATTCTTCCAAGTGTTCTGACTTGAATCTCCTAAGTTTCCTTTCCTTTTCTCTCTTTCATTTTCTTAATTCCATTTTTGTTCTTGTTTGTTATGTTCTTAGTTTCCTTTCTATCTAGGCAAGTTATTTTATACAATGTGGTATTTAGAGTCTTAGGTTTGATCATTGTAGGAATGCATGCTAGGTAGAATTTTTTTTTTCTGCTGTCTTGTTTTTCTTTTATGTTTTCAGCGTCAATTACTCGTCTGTTTGGTGCACTTTTGTTTTCATTTATGTTGCACCAATTATATGCCTTAATAATTTCCTTTTGTTCATTTTAAAATGTCTAAACCATGCTTCCTTTCCATACATAACAATAGCCATTTAATTTTCAATTTTTGTCCGAGTTTGAAACATGATTCCATGTGTTGTTACTAAATTTTGCTTGTTGTTTCTGTTTTGATTTTCACTGGATCGTGTTTGCTGGTTGTGTACACCATCAAGAACACCTTAACGCCATGCACTTAAACGAGGATCGTCTCGTTATTGTCACAACATTATTTGATGAATGAGACGAGATGGCGGTGTCGGAGCTGCGAGAGCATATAGATCTCATTAATGAACTCGCTAGCCCCTTGTTGCGAACCCTGTCTAAGGTGCTTAATATCGACGGGACTTACCCGTCGTCGATGTAGGCCTTCTACACGTGTCCAAATCTTTTGTCATCAATGAAAGCGTTGTCAAAGTTCCATTGCATCAATGTGCTACTAGGGTGTCAAAATGAGCCTACCTGGTTCACACAAGTTGACTCATCAAAAATTAAGTTAAAAGGGAATCCAATTCTATTCAATTTATAGTAAGCCAAAAATTTTACAACTCCTCAACTCTCCATAGATTGAAGATTAAATAGGTTGATTCACTAACCTATAAATAATAAAAAATATATTTTTGTTATTTTAAAAAAATAATTACAAAATAGATTTAAAAGTCAACCTCATCAATTAACAATAAAAAATAACAACGAGAAATAAAAAATTTAAACGTTGAAAACATAAAATTTTAAAAATAAACGATATCGATGTGAAAAAAAATAACCCTTGAAAGGAAAAAAATAATTGTTAAAGTAATTAATAATTTCTTTTATGAATCTAAAGTAACATTTTAAAAAAATATCATTTAAAAATTTGGTACTATAGATAGGGAAAAAGGAAGACTTTCAGGGTATATATTGAACAAGATATTTAAATATATTTTTAATTTCTAAAAAATGGACAAATTATAGTAATTGTTGAGGTAATGAAACAGATTATAGTAAATGTCATGGTGATGAATCGACACAATAACGCAAACAAGTTTCATATCATTTTAAAAACAAAATTCAAACAATTTCTTCAAGATTAAAATTAAAATTCACGAATTAAAACTGAATAAGTACGATTATAAAGGATCGAATCGCATAACCCTAACAGAGATCTTGTGATCATCAGGAACGGTGCCGACACTTTTGGGATTAACAACGTAGTAATTGCCGGTGGAGATGACGTTGGCCTTCATATCCTCGAAATGTACTTCGGGTGAGAGGATTTCAGCTCGAACACCATTGGTGTAGACGTTTAATAAGTGCAATATTGGTGTTATTTGAAACTGTTAGGAGAATGAATGAAGGCAGAAAATCACTTTGGAGGAAGTTGCCAATTAGTTAAAGCAAAATCAGTCGGGAAATGATTCCAGTTGCCATTATTTCCTCTTCAAGACAGAAAGAGGCCACATAATATGTTGTTGCATATGACAATTTCTGAACTTTGAAGATTTTTTCTGAACTTATGCTTTTGTTGAGTGTAGTTGAATTGTCTTAAACATAGTATTCTTTTTATAATTTACATTATAATTATCAATAAATATATTTTATCTTAAAATATTAATAAAATTAATTTTGATTATATTTTGTATTTTATAATTTTTTATTTTTTATTATAAAAAACAGATTCCATTAAATTAACAAATTATATATAGATGGATAATTATAAATTTAACTGTATAAAACACAGTATGATTGTGAGACTTTAACTGTATAAATTTAAAAATCTCTCCCAAATTGATTTATGGAAGAGGGTAAAAGCCTCCGTAAATAAATAAAAAAAAAATCCATTAAGTAACAATATTTTTTAATATACGTTTAGATCCCACTAAGAACAATTTGACTATTTCTTCTTATCTTAGTAGGAATAAATTTAAATTTATACATAATTATTTGTCTAATTTTAAGAAAATTATAAAAGTTAACTCTTAAAAATATAATTATTCTTTTAATTTTTATAAATTGCGACAGTTTTTCTTTTCTTTTCTTTTGTGATATTTTAAGAAATGAAAAATAACTTGGCACTCTTCAAAGTACTCAGTTAGGAATAGCAACATTAACATTTTGGCGCTGCTCCGCACTTTCTTGTAGCTCCAGAGTAAACTCTAGCATCGCCGCCACATGCTCCATGGACGGCCTCAGCGACCCATCTTCCAACAAACAACTCACCCCAATCTCACAAAACTTCTTTAAGCACTCTGCTGCAATCTCCTTCTTCAACGTCGGCTCAACAATCTCTGCTATGGTTCCACTTTCGTAACAATGTCTCACCCAATTAGAAAGCGACACCTGTTGCCTCTCCGCACTGTGAATCAAAGGCGGACGACCACACAGTATCTCAAAAAGCACAACCCCGAAAGAATACACGTCGGACTTTTCCGTTAAACGGTATCGTTTATAATACTCAGGATCCAAATATCCGAAGCTACCCTTCACATCGGTGCTGACGTGGGTTTTCGAAGTTCCAATAGGCCCCAGCCTTGAAAGTCCGAAGTCCGAAACCTTTGCCACCCACTTATCATCCAATAGGATGTTCGTCGTTTTCACGTCCCGGTGGATGATCGTGTGCTTCGCTCCTGTGTGGAGATAGTTCAGTCCATGCGCCGCGCCGATACAGATATGCAACCGCTGCTTCCACGAGATAGGGGGATTGTCCGTGTTGTACAGATGGTCGCGGAGGTTGCCACGTGTCATGAAATCGTAAACCAAGATCATTTCCTTATTATCGTTGCAGTAGCCGATGAGGGACACGACATTGAGGTGGCGTAGTTGCGAGAGCATGTTGATTTCGTTCGAGAACTCGCGAGGCCCCTGCTGCGAATCCCGTTTAAGGCGCTTGATGGCGACGGGAACGGAGCCCTCGTCTATATAGCCCTTGTACACCTGGCCGAATCCTCCGGTGCCGATGATGAAGACTTTGTCGAAGTTTTGGGTGGCCGCTCTCATCTCGTCGAGAGAGAAGCGGCGGCAGAGATCTGTCGGGAGGGAGGAATTCCGCGTGGTCGTTGACTTGCATTCGTAATCCTTGCTCTTAGTATAAGGTGTTCTCTTGTATAGTAAAAATGCGACAAGGAAAACGGCAAGAGAAATCAGAACAACGCCGGATACCAGCCCCACGTCGACTTCAATTATATCCGTTCCACTACCCCTGCGGATCTTTCCGTTTTGGCCATGAATGCTGATGTCTGGAGTTTGAGACGGGTCTGGGTTGGGTCCCGCGAGACTGTTTGACCCGGCCTGGCTGACTTTGAAAATCTCAACACCGTTCAGAAAGGCGTCGCTGTATCTCGAGTGTTCGGAAGGATGCATTTGAAGGGAGAGATTAAACTTCTTTTGAGTACCAATATTGGGAATCAAAACGGCATAATTTTTATGCACAGCTAGACCTTTTTGTTTCTGAGTCCATTTCATTACATCTGCACCTGGTTCAGCCAACTGGCTCGCTATGTAAATGAAGAATCGCCTGTCACCGATGTCATTAATATAGGGATCAAGCTCGCAGAAGTGGAGTCTGAGAACGTAAGTGAAGCCACAATCAACGGGGAACTCCCAAGTGAGGTTTCTCATCCTGTTAAAAGTGGCGTTTGTGCCCATGCTACGCGCTGTTCTGAACAGTTCCTTTGGTGCCACGTAATAAGGATTCACGGTTATCGTCATATTACTGTAGTCAGTTGATACATCATTCAAGTGTGAATTTTGTTCAATAAAATAAGGTTTTTCGTTAACCCAATTCCTGAACAAACCAGTGTCTTTTTGTGGTGGGATTTCTACTTGCCATCCAGATTTGATTCTATACTCAGTCTGAAGCGCAAAGCTGGTTCCAATGCTGTACAGCGTGCTACATTCGAAGAACGTAAAGCCTGTCTCATTTTCTGGTGTGTAATATAAATCGGTTGGCATGGAAAGTACCTCGATACCATTGATGAAAACGTAAGAGTTTGGAAACGAGGGAGTGAAGGTGAGGATAAGCCTCTCACCATCGTTGACGTTGACCACGTATTCCTTGAAGATAGTGTCCATGACTTGAGCGTCGGCGTTAAGAGAGGCGTTGAAATCGTTGAGGAGAGTAAATTGGTTGGATAGAACGGAGAAGGATGCGTGGGTGCGGGGAAAGGAAGGGTAGTCAGCAGGGTAGAAGAAGAGGCGAATGAATTTGGTGCCTGGGGAGACAGGGAAGGAGTAATTGAATTGGGAACTTGACAAGCGTGCAGTGGAGAAGGGGACTTGATTGGCGGAAGGAGACTGTGTTGGGGCCTTGTCTGAAACGGTGATATCTTGGGAAGATAAGTACTTTGTGTCTGCGTCGCCGGTCCACGTTCTTTGACCGTCGGAGGAGTTCCCGGTGGTGCCGCAATTGATGGTGAAAACTTCCTCTGGGATGTAGGCTTGGAGGTGTGTGGAGAAGGGTAGAAGAAAAAAGAAGAGTGTTAAGATAGCCATGGTTTGTGGTGAGAGGGGGAGAATAGAAGTGACTGAAGAGGCGATGACTTATCAACACTGTGAGGTTGGTATTGCACGGAAGCCCGGGAGACCGGAACAAGCAGTGTGTTTGTTAGCGATATATCACTGCCTGCTTATGCAGTTGACGGTTTCTTTTTCCAGACCAAAAGCGAAAAATCAAAAAGAAAAAACAAAGATAAAAACCTAACTTTTCTCCTCCATTCAAATTACAAGTTCCTAAAATTATTATTTTATTATATAATTCTATCTATATTTATTTTTATTATACTTTATTATGAAAATGATTTGTCGAAAGAATGTAAAGAAAAGATAAATTTTACCACCCTTATAAAATTAAAATTTTGAATACCGATAATATGAATGACATAAATTGTAAGTTGGTAAATTAAAAACATTCTAATTCAAATTTGGGATACGTATACTTCCCACATGCCTCTTTCTTCTACCTAAATATTATCTTCCACTGAATTTTAATTAGTGTGACTAAATAATTGTCGTTTCCTTCAACCGGTTTTAGTGTTCTTATTTTCTTTTAAGTCAGGTGCTTTTTTGTATACTAAACATTTATTCTTTTTTCTATATTTTTCTTTTGTTTAGTCAAATTTAATTTTTATATTCATTTAAATTATATTTAAATATTGATATAATACAAATTAAAGAAACTGTTTTTAGATAATAAGTACTCATAACCTACCCGAGAATGTGGGGTAGTTGCGTGCAGGGAAGAAGGAGAAGGAGGAAGGTTGTGCCGATGACATCAATGGTCTTCAATGGTGGTGTTTAACGAGAGAGGTAAAGAGGAAGGAGAAACATTGCATACTAAAATACTATCTCGAGTTTTATAAAGGTAATGTGTTTTATTTGGAAACTATTTGAATGTTTGAAGCTAGATGACAAGAGATTTATTAATAAATTATTGTTTTAGAATCTTTTAAATTGAAGATTCTCGAATAAGAAGTTGATTTATGATTGGATTATATGCATGTTATAATATATGGTTTATTAAATTCACTTGAGTATAATTTTGATGAGTATGAATAGTTTCCTATAATTTATTATTTAAATTGAATTGAAATAAGTGAAGGATGGTTTGAGAAAATTTCAAATTTTGTAGTGATAATTTTGAATGTGTTTAAGAGTTGTATTTATAAATTAGTTTTGGATAAAAACATCAAATATAAATTCTATTGCATGAGGTTGTTTTTATAATATTTTTGTTAAAGAAAGACATTCGCTTAAGTAAAAATAGAAAATAGATTTAGACCTTGCTCGTTGAATCTTCTATATTTTCACTCAAAAGAGATAATTTCTGCTCAAGCTAGAAAATAAAATTTTCCTTTCTTTATTTCTTTCTTTCTCTTATCTGTGTTCATTTAACGAATCATATTGTGTGTAGTTTTTTTGAATTTATTATACTAATATTTTAGTGAAATTAAATTGTTTTTGGTTTGCTAATCATAATATTTCATTTATATATATATTTAAATAAAAAACTTATGTTATTGAAAAAAATGTATTTCAATAGTTTACCAAAGAATCCAACACCGATCCCTTACTTTAATCTACATTACTTGCAAGAGAAATAATTGATGGAATGTGTTCATAACAGATGTAGACACAAGATACAAATAAACTCCTCTCCGAAACAATTTCACTGTAATTTTAATTAAGGAACACTTCCCTTTGCGCATGAAACATTTGATTGGTTTTTGGACAAAAAAAAAATGACAAGTTCGTTGATGCTTATTAAATCTTATATAATTACCACAACGAGATGTTATTTAAAATTAAAATTTAGATTTCAAATTGTCCATTTGAAAAATATAAACAACCTAGTAGGTGTTGATTTAACCCTAAAGACATAATATAGATTATAATAATTGAATAAGAGAATCTTAATTTATCACTATAATATTAAAATATACAATATATTTGTTATTTTTATTAAGAAATAATATAGTAAAAAATTTAAAATTACTTTTTTGAATAGCAGAATCTCTCAAACACTAATATAGAAACACGTATTTCCTGTTCATTCTTGTAAATTCTTCTGTGAATAATAATTTGTAAGAACTGGTACTCAACATTTTTGTCAAAAATTTTCACACAAAATCTCTACTATAATTTTACTATATTACGTACTTATTATTTATATATTTTATTCACTAGTATTTGAAGATTAAAAATAAGCTAGAAACGTTGCAGGTTTTTCACTTTTTTATTTTCCATATCTGGATTTGCTTGCGGAAAGAAATCTCTCGGTGAATTTTAATAAATGTTCTTGTAGGAAGTTGGAGATAAAACAAATAAGAAATTGCGTTCTTTTATTTTTTTCTATTATTACAGTGCTATTCTTTCTTTCTCCCACTTAATTCTTTAATTTTTGATTTATTATTCTTAAGGGTGAACATACATTGGATTTCTAGATCCAAATTTAATCTAATAAAATTGATTGAATTTATAATTCATATCTATAATCACTAGATCAATTAAATTTAATTTTTTAAAACCAATTTAAATTAATTTAAATATAATGAGACGGATCTAATATATCTTATTATTAAGTTTATAAAAAATGTACTGGGTCACTCAACTCGACTTAGATCTAAATTGACTTAGGTCTTATTCACACAGCACAACTTTTGGTTGTAGTCGGTTTGACCTGACCTTTGAGCTGAATTAACTAACATTCAGTCAAGACTAACTCAACATGATATTCAATCGAAGTTGACTCAAGTTGACCTTTAATTAAAAGAAACTTGACTCAATCTTTGGCCTAAACCGACTTAACTTTACTTTCATTTTGGACCGGTTTAACTCAAAGCAACTCAACCCGACATTTAATTTGAGCTAACTTGACTCAACGTTCAATCCAATCGACTTGACTCAACTTTTGGTTGAAATCAATTTAACTTGACCTTTCGATTCGGGTCAACTTAACTTAACTTTTCAATCCGAACTAATTGATCAGTACAATCTTATATCTAAACTAACTTTAATTGAAATCTGTATACAATTGATTGTTTCTGAAAATTTTTAGAATGTTTTGATAACATGCTAATTGTAATTTTTTGAAACCATGTCCAATTTTTCTCATCTTAAAAAAAGGTTCATGACCTGACTTTAATCTATAGAGTTTTGGAAATATTTAATCCTATAAATTTTTTAATGAAAAAGGTTTTTTTGACTTTTAAAGTTTTTCTACCTCATTAAACTAGATCTTATGAAATGGACTGTTTCGACATGTCTACATAAACTATTGGAATACGTAGAACTCAAATTTTAGAATTTTTGTATCATCTTTGTCCACAATGTGTATTTTACAAAATTTATATTTGCACTGATTTACTATGTCTTTTTTAAAATATTCTTTATAAAAAGAATAAATTGAATTTACTTTTGAAATGGATAAATTAACTAGTTGTGTAATAAATTATGTTTCTATTAAATCTTAAAACTTGTTATAGCAGCAACATGATGCATAAATAAGATAAAATAAGATAGATACGAAGTCTAATTCCTAATAAAAAAGAAATAGAAAGATCATTAAATAACATGTGAGTATGATGTCTACCTGATTTAATAGATTTTATTATTCCTTAAGATTTTAATATATATTTAACTAATTAAAATACATAATGAGAATACCTTGAATTAACTATTGGTTCTTATTTCTTAACCATTTTCTTTTTTACCTTGGCGAAACTTCATCAATATCATTTAAAAAGTGTAAGGTTTTAAAATTAGGAAAACCAAAAGCTAACAAAAATAATAATAATCTTTAGTGTAAGATCGTTTTCTTTTTTAAAAGGACTAAATCTAAACTTTGAACATCTCAAATTTAAAAGGTTTTAAATTTGTACAGAATTATAAGAGTTAAGCCTTTAAAAATATAATTAATTTTTTATTTTAATTCTTTTTTACAGAAATGTAAAGAAACTATATTAATCCCTTTCCAGCCATTTCCATAGAATTGTTTCCGATGACAGCTTTTATTCTTTGTTTTCTGATATTTTAGAAAGGAAAAAAAAAACTTGACCCCTTCACACTACTTCTCAGTTAACAATAACAACATTAGCCACGTCTTCACGTTGCTCTGCACTTTCTTGTAGCTGCAGAGTAAACTCCAACATCCCAGCCACATCCTCCATGGAGGGCCTCAGCGACCCATCTTCCACCAAACAACTCATCCCAATCTCACAAAACTTCTTCAAGCACTCTGCTGCAATCTCCTTCTTCAACCTCGGCTCAACAATCTCTGCTATCATTCCACTTTCGTAACAATGTCTCACCCAATTAGAGAGCGACACCTGTTGCTTCTCCGCACTGTGAATCAAAGGGGGACGACCACACAGTATCTCAAAAAGCACAACTCCGAAAGAGTACACGTCAGACTTCTCCGTCAAACGATAGCGTTTATAATACTCAGGATCCAAATATCCGAAGCTTCCCCTTACGTCGGTGCTGACGTGAGCCTTCGAAGTTCCAATGGATCCAAGCCTGGAAAGTCCAAAGTCCGAAACCTTGGTCACCCACTTATCGTCCAACAGGATGTTCGTGCTTTTCACGTCCCGGTGAATGATCGTGTGCTTCGCGCCTGTGTGAAGATAATGAAGTCCACGCGCCGCGCCGATGCAGATCTGCAACCGCTGCTTCCACGATATAGCTGGGTTATCCGTGTTGTATAGATGGTCACGGAGGTTGCCACGTGTTATGAAATCGTAGACCAAGATCATTTCCTTATTATCGTTGCAGTAGCCGATGAGGGACACGACATTGAGGTGGCGAAGTTGTGAGAGCATCTTAATTTCGTTCAGAAACTCGCGAGCCCCTTGCTGCGAATCCGGTTTAAGGCGCTTGATGGCTACGGGAACGGAGCCCTCGTCGATATAGCCCTTGTACACTTGGCCGAATCCCCCGGTGCCGACGATCAAGACTTCGTCGAAGTTTTGGGTGGCCGCTCTCATCTCGGCGAAGGAGAAGCGGCGGCAGAGATCTGTCGGCAGGAAGATGGTCGTTGACTTGGATTCGCAATCCCTGCTCTTAGTATAAGTGTTTCTCTTGTATCGTAAAAACACTACAAGGAAAACGATTATCAAGATCAAAACGACGCCAGACAGCACCCCTGCTATGGTCTTTCCGTTTTGGCCTGGAATGTTGTTCTGTGGAGTCTGAACCGGATCTGGGTTTGGACCAGCTAGGTTGTTTGAGTTGCTGATTTTGAAGATCTCGAGACCGTTAAGTAAGGCGTTTGCGTATTTAGAATCCACGTTGCTTCCGTCAGGCTGCATTTGAAGAGAGAGATTAAACTTTTTCTGAGAACCATTCTGGGGAATAAAAACGGCATAATTTTTATGCACAACTAGACCTTTTTGTTTCTGACTCCATTTCATTACATCTGCACGTACTTCAGCCAACTGGCTCGCTATGTAAATATAGAACTGCCTGTCACCGATGTCATTAATATAGGGATCAAGCTCGCAGAAGTGGAGTCTGAGAACGTAAGTGAAGCCACAATCAACGGGGAACTCCCAAGTGAGGTTGCTCATTCTGTTCAGAGTGGCGTATCTGCCCATGCTACGCGCTGTTCTGAAAAGTTCCTTTGGTGCCACGTAATCGGGATTCACGGTTATGTTCATTTTCCCATCCATGTCAGCTAGTAGATCATCATTCTCTGGATTGTATTTGATAAAGTAACGTTCTTCGGCAGCCCAATCCCTGAACAAACCGCTGTCGTTATATGGCAAGATTTCTTGTCCTCCGGCTTTGATTCTATACTCAGTCTGAAGAGCAAAGCTGGTTCCAACACTGTACAGGGTGCTAATCCCGATGTTCGTGAAGCCTGTGTCATTTTCTGGTGTGTAATATAAATCGGTTGGCATGGAAAGCACCTCGATTCCATTGATGAAAGCGTAGGAGTTTGGGTGCGAGGGAGTGAAGGTGAGGATAAGCCTCTCACCGTCGTTGACGTTGACGACGTATTCTCTGAAAACAGTGTCGGTGGCTTGAGCGTCGGTGTTAAGAGAGGCGTTGAAAGCGTTGAGGAGAGTGAATTGATTGGATTGAACGTGGAAAGATGCTTGAGTGCGGGGAAAGAAGGAGTAGTCAGCAGGATAGAAGAAGAGGCGAAGGAATTTGGAGCCTGGGGAGACAGGGAAGGAGTAATTGAATTGGGAACGGGACAAGCGTGCAGTGGAGAAGGGGACTTGATTGGCTGAAGGAGACTGTGTTATCGCCTTGTCTGAAACGGTGGTGTCTTGGAAAGTTAAGTACTTTGTGTCTTCGTCACCGGTCCACGTTCTTTGACCATCAGAGGACTTTCCGGTTGTGCCGCAATTGATGGTAAATACTTCCTCTGAGGTGTAGGCTTGGAGGCGTGTGGAGAAGTGTAGTAGGAGGAAAAAGAGTTTTAAGGAGGTGGTGATAGCCATGGCAGGGTGAGAATAGAAGTGAGTGAAAGGGCGAAGACTTTATCATCATTGTTTGGATGGAATTGCTGGGAAGCCGGGAGTAAGGAACATGCAGTGTGTTTGTTAGCGAAATATCACTGCGAGTCTATGCAGTTGACGGGTTCTTCTTCTAGACAAAAAAGAAAAAGCAAAACACAAAAAAATTTATTGGAGAGAGAAAACAAAATTTAAAAAGATCAGAAAGGGTAAAACATAGAGATGTTGATGGAAGACTGAATCTTACTTGGGTGATTTTTTGCGAGAGAGATGACTTTGTTATTCGCGATGAGGTCGCGAGGGATGACTTTCATCATATCCATTTAGATTCAACTTCACGCTTTATCCTACTCATCCTACATAATGCATCAAGTTCATTCTTAATCTCTTTCAATACTAATAGATACCCAACATCAAGATACCAACTCGTGATCTTCAATCTCAAATTCAGTACATTCAACCCAAGAATACATCTCCAATCTTCCAATTTTCACTTAGTCTACAAACTCTAAACTAGCCATCCCAACCCCCATCCTGTCTCCACCGCAACCGTGAAGCTCCCACCGCTGTCGCTCACCACCAAGCTTACCGTCGCCAACACACTGTTGTAACTCGTGTGGCCACGACCCCAAACCCTTGCGTCATCACAGTTTCACCATCTCCTTGCGTAAGCAGCCAACACCAGGCTTCGGGTCTCGTCGTCGCTTGCCTCCGGCCATTCGGAGCTTCCGTCGTCGATGTCGTTCATCATCGTGGTCGTCGCCGGAGACATGGTGTCTCCAGCCTGCTTCTCGTTCTTCTCGGGAGGCCAAACGGCCAACACCTTAGCTCGCGACTGGTCACCTTGCCACCTCCTAAAGGCCTCCCTTCTCTTGCTCATTCTCACGGAGGAAACCCTAAGAGGGGTTTGGGCCCATCTTCAACGCAAGCAAGCAGCCCTATCCTTTGTCAAAATATTTTTTTTAAATTTAAATTTTACACGTCACTGTCACGTAATGACATAAACTAGACACGTAATTATGTTTTGTCCACGCTATCAACTGCACTGTTAAAAAATTAATGCCGTGACCAAAAAGGATTAAATTGAACCGTTTTTTCAAAAGTTGGAACCCTTTTTAAAAACGTAAGACGCAATTGAACATTTTTTCCCTTTCGAGGAACCAAAAAAGGCCTAAAGTAAAAAAATGATAAATTTATTTTAAGGATGAAACGCATTCTTAAAAATAATTTAATAAAAAAAACATATTTAATTTTATAATAATGACTAAATAATATAGATATACACCTAATATAACAGTAATATTTACTCAATAAAAAAAGCTCTATCTTGAAAACATAAGTTTTGTCATTAATCCAAATTAAAGGAATGGATTGTGTATGAGCCTTGTAAGAATCCTTATATTAGAGTAAAAGTTGCTAACCAATAATCTTAAAAGTGATATTGAAATAGTAAAATTCTCATTAATAAGCTTTAATGTATTTTTAGTGGATTTTATTGTGCCACGTCAATTTTAATATATTTTTTTATTACTTTTTTTATGTAATGTAGGAGTTTTATTAGACTATTATTTTTCTAATTAATATTTTATTTTGTTGTTGAAAAAGATACTCTTGTTAGGAAGGAATTGTTTTTTATTCTTATAATTCAACGTTTTACAACTTTTAAATTTTGTATCACTTTTATTACAGTAAAATAGTCTTATAAAACTCATTTTCTTAATTAATGTTTTATGAGTTAAATATATTTTTTATTTTCAAATTATTATAAAATATTATGTTTGTTTATAAATTAAATTATAAATTATAAATTATTATATTTTTACAATTTATGAAAGTAATATAAAATATATTTTCAACTCATCAATCTTTAGAATAAAAATTTATTCACATAATAAATATATATATATATATATATATATATATATATATATTAATTATGTGTGTTTTTTTTTAAGTTTCAACTTTTAAAAAGAAAACATAACAAGTCTCTAATATTAAATTGATAAAATTCTGATATAACAAAAGTGTATATAATTACTTCACAAAATGATTTATGCGTCAAGAAGTAAACCATACCACTGATAAAAAGCTGACAAGAGCTGAGGAATAAAAGAAAGAGAAAGAAAAACTAACGCCGTTTCCACATATTTCACGGAATGGACTTGATTGAGACAAATTTTATCAAGTATGGACGAAATTGACACTTTTTTAAAAGATTAGACCAACTTGACACACTAGAGCGAAAATAAGGACAAAGAAGGATATTAAACCTTTTATTTTTAAAAGACTTGAAAAGTAAAAAAAAAAAAAAGTATTTAAACCATTATTTTGATTCTTGAATGATGTGAGGAGCCTTATAAATGATGTGATAGTATTAGATATACCTAAAACATTTTATTATGATATAAGTATTATTTATCAATATTCCAAATCTTGAGACCCAAACCAAAGGAAAAGAAAATAGCTGTAAAGTAACATTTTATTGGTTATTTTGATAAAAGAATACAACCTGGGGTTGATATTCCTTTGAAGACCTAATTAATATATATATATATATATATATATATATATATATATAATAATTTAACAAGAAAATATTAACTAACAATTAATATTTAATGATAAAAATAAATAATTTATCAAGTTTAATATAATATTTTTTGTTAGTTTTAAAATATAATTGATCTAAAATTTTCAGATAACATTTTCGAATAGGAGAATCTCTCAAACTCTACTATATATGAAACACATATTTGCTGTTGATTCTTTTAAATTTTTCTGAGATATAATAATTTGTAAGAAATGGTCGTCAACTTTTTTTGTCAAAAATTTTCACATAAAATTTCTACTAATTTTACTATACACAGTACTTATTATTTATATATTTATTCACTAGTATTTGCTGATTAAAAATATATAAGCTAGAAACGTTGCAGGTTTTATATTTTGATTTGTGATCGTGATTTTGATATATTTAAATTCGTTTGTGACTACAATGCCTTTTTTATTGTGATGGTGATTTTTAAATATTTAAATTCGTTTGTAGTTTTGTTAAAACTCAAGTCCAAAATGTTAGGTTTTTATATAGTTTCTTTAGTTTTCTTTTCAAAGTTAAGGAAAAATTGAACCGAAGACTCTTTCAAAATTTTCTGCTTTTAATACTTTGTTTGAAAGGCCTTTTTTTCTTATGACCCGAAAATTTCACTGCCATGCAACAAAATTCAAAAATAAATTTGAGAACATGATCTTCTGTAAATTTTGATGACTCAAACTACTGTAAATAACGTAACCTATACCTATGATTTTGAAGTAGAAACAACTTTGATTGAAAGCCTACATACAATTGTTTGTTCGTGAAATTTTTAGAATGTTTTGATAACCATAAAAGTCCTTGTAACTGTAAAATTTTTTAAATTAACTTTTCTGTTCAGTATTTTGATGAAACTATGTCCAATTTCATAGCTCTTGGGAAAATTGTTTTTGAGTGAACCAGCAATGAAAGATAATAAATTATTTAGTCTATGAAGTTTTGCAATTCTTCAACATCTCGTGCTGCATAAAAATGCAGCACCAGTTTTGTCGAATTCTAATTTTTGTGATCCGAGCATGTGTTCGAAACCTTAGGAAATCTAGCTTCTTGGGATAAATCTCATAAATGATCCATTGTGATCTAATTCCACTTCTAATTTATTACTAAATTTTATAATTCAAACGACATTGAAAGGGTTGATTCTTATATTGTAAAATCTTCAAGTTGTTGTATGATATAAAAGTATAAGTTTTCTATTAACTGTAAAAAGTTTAAATAAGTACTGAAAAATCCCACTTTGACTAAAAATGAGTGTAGTGAATATTATATAAAAGTAAATATTTATAAAAAATTGTTTTAAGATTTTAGTTTAAAATTGATATTGAATTCAAGGTCGGTTTATTACTTAAGACAGATTAGTTCAACAAATATAATGCAAAGTTATTGAGATGTGATAAATTTAGTACATCACTTATTATTGTTTATGTTTTTTTTTGGTCAACTGTTAATTTCTTGGACTCATATGCATATTATGGTACATATTATGCATACCATGGTAGTATTATCGATGCTTTGGATTTTGCCAAATTGTAATGAGAAGTGATAATATAGCTATTTTATTTTGTAAATTCTTTATAATTATGAGTTTTATGAAAAAATGATAAAGAAATATATAATTGAGTGAGTTTTACGAGAAAGTGATAGAAAAATCAGGATGATGAAAACAATGATCATACTAAAAATAGTGATATTTGGTCTTTTATTCTTTATTATATTACTTTTGATCTAACCTTTGTTTATTTTTTAAGAATAAAAAATTGTATTTAAATTTGAATGGTTTATGTTGTCTCTATAGCTACAGTTTTTATATCTTACGTTTGCATAGGTTGCTATGAATTTACCATTTATTATTGTTAATTATGTTTAGTTCTATATGCATGTATAGTTTATTATTGAGATTAGTCGAAGTTTATTTAAGGCAAGATGTTAGTTAACTTTGAAACAACATTTATACTAAATATATATTCGATAGTGGATTATAAAGTTGCTGTATAGTTTGACCAAATTTTGATGGGAACCTTAGTTGTTTTGAGAAATATTACTTAAAATATCGTAGATTTAAGTTTTGTAATTCTTGGAAATATTTCATATATTTTAAAAAATAAATAAATAAATTACTTTTTAATGTTACTTATATTTTTAAGAACTGTTATTTTATAGATAAATATTATTTATTAGTTATATAAATTATTATTTTATTTTAATCAGATTCATTAAAATTTACATATATTTTACTTTTTTTTATCTATAAATATTACTATTTGTATAAGAAAACAATTTGTATAAATTTCTTTTAGTTTTTTATTTTATATTGTTTTTCAAAATGTTGGTGTTCACCGGTTTAAAAATTTATCATTCAATCGATTTAACGAGTTGTTATATTTATATAATACTCTTTGTGATTGTTTAAATAGATTTTTGTATGCTTCAATATAAGTTTTTTCAGAATCATTAAAAACGCACTCAAAAACCCTCTTCGCGGACGCCAGGTGTCAAGCAACAAGGATCAGAAATCAGATAGTGGGATGCAGGTGTCAGCAGAAGAGCGGATGCTCGTTTTGACGTGGGAAGAAAAATGATTTTCTGAAACTTCCGTCCCACTCTCTTCTGCATGCACCCTTCTTCCCAGACTCTGAAAATCTCTTTTTCTCCTCCTTCTCACTACATCTCCGTC